CAATCGCGGATTATACATGGTATTTTGGAATTGTGAGTCACGTGGGTCGTATTTTTTGAGATGATGATCTCAAGTGGATTATTCCGTTTGGTAAAAATGACATAGGGATCAGGATATACACCAGATAATCTGGCCAAATTATCCAAAGACGCTAGAATTAATGAGGGAGGCTGTTCGTGATTTTGATGCATCAGGGCTCCTTGCTTTCTGTGACAACACAAGCTCTTTTGAGGCCGGTCCGGACAAGTGCTTGTTGTGATATAGGGGCCTCAGCAGGGCTAATGCATTTCTTTTTCCGTTGCTAAACATAGGCCGCCCGAATGGATGATCATGACTCGCAGCATCTTATAGCCGGAGACGGCAATTTTCGATCCTTTCGTATTCTAGGTGCTTTTGACATGTCCAAGAGCTCAGTAGTGGATCGATCCAATCTCCTGAGTAACGGGCGATTCCTTATTAGCGCAAGTAATGGCCGAGTTTCTCAAGTTGGTACTCGTGCTGGCAGCACGCTCTACCAGAGACTCAAACGTCAAGAATCGCTTAAGCTGCCGTACAAAGCAGGAGTTCTTGCAGAAGAAACGACCAGAGGAAGCCGTCAAAAACGCTATGCATATGCAGTTACCTTGAGCGGGTTACCAATCGAGAAGCGAGCTTCGGAGCAACTGGGGTTTCAGGGCTCTTACAGGACGACCGCTCTTAAAATGAAAGTGGAAGACTTCCATAAAGCAATGCATCCGGGTCACCGCCGGACACGTGGCAGGATTATTCCGTTCATTGAAGACGACGGAGCGAAGGCCCGTTCAAAAGAAGCCGACTTACATACGAAATCGATCGTTGCAAAAAAAACTGGTCTGATCTGAGGCTGGCATGGCCTTCGGTATGACGGTGTTTAGGCTCCTTTGTAGTACCTCCACGGCATAATTCACTTTAACATGGTTGTGTTACGAAGCTTTGATGGGTTGACAAGTGCATCAAGTTTAAGATCCACGACTTCAGAGCTTTCGTCCCAAAAACGGCTAGTGTAAATTGGCGATTCGCGTTCTAGCTGGTGGTGTCCGTGATCAATCAAAGACGAGCCGTTTGTATGATTTCGATGTGATCGTCTGGCTTTCCTCATTCGAGTGACTCGTTTCAAGGCGGCCGACCAGGACACGTTTACCATATACGGGCTTCCAAACAGGCCGGTCCGATCCCAGCTCGCCTCAAATCCTTCGTTTTTTAACGAACGCACGACACTTCGACATATGTGCTTTAAACTATACGGTCTACACAAGGCCCGTGGGCCAGCTAACGTTCCAACGTCCAATATTGTACTTGAGATGCCAAGCTCGGTGTATGCGCGAATTATAGCAAGTCTTACCGATTCAAGTGTCTGTCGATCCATTTCAGCGATAGCAATCCGATCGCGTGGCTGAAATCCAAGGATTACGTCCATGCTGAAGGGTATTGTATTGATAGTACGGCTGGAAAATCGATTGCTGCTTGAATGAAACTCACTGAATTTGCACGATATGGATTTGTCGACATGCATCATCAATCTATGATAAGACAATTGGGCAAAGTTATGCAAGTAGACTTCATTCATGCAAATATGCTACGGCCATCAGGACATCAACAATAGTGTGAACAACGTACTTGGTGTTGCCCGTCAACATATACACACAAAAGCTAGGTCTTCAGTATACAGAGTGCTCACTTTAGGCGGACCGATCGTTGCGGGGCCGCGGAACTATCATGCACCTCGAACCAAAGTCAATCTCTCCGTCAACCTCTGGCGGGCCTAGGTGAGCAAGCATGGGAAGACCAGACGGCCTACGTAGCAGATTGTCAAACTCGCTGGCATCTACCTCGTCCAGAAAATCGCGCACTGCCGGAAGAAGATCCATCCGGCAGCGCCAGACGCGGGGAACCTCTCGAAACTGCAGCTTTACGAGCTTTGCCATTCGCTGAATACTCTTTTCGTGCAGCCTATACTTGTAGTCGTTCTTCCCAGAGCTAGACTCGTAGTTCTTCCCCTTCCCACGCCTTGCACCGCGAGAAACCTCCACCGCGCCGTCCAGCCTGAGGCCCATCTGTCGTAACACGGCATCGACCACCTTTTTGATCTGTCCGGGTAGCAGATGATCGCACCCAGGCTCGGGCTTTGGCAGTTCGATCTGGAACATTTGCGCAGGAGACTGTTCTGCCAGAGACGCCTTACCCCCACTGTATACTTGCCGTCCCTTGAAAAGCCGAGACTCCATCAGCTTCTTCATCAAGCCTCCCTTTAAAAGCGAAGGGGTAAAGGACCTATCGAACGCGTGCTTGAAGCCCAGATCCTTGATGAGTTCTTGCGCGATCTCGACCCTCACAATCTCCTGACCCTTACGGCCAACCGCTTCGGGGTCGAGGAATCGACCATGAAGCAATACTTTAAGCAGAAACAGCAGGGGCTCAGAGAAGGGGGTCTTGTAATCGACCACTTTCTGTAGAAGGAAGGATTCGCTAAGCTCCTTGAGCCCGTAGAATGCGCAAGCTTCGTACTTGTTGACCTCCACCGATTCCGTCCCCCTGTCCCGCTTGACGTCCCTGCGCTCCTTCAGAATCTGATACTCCTCGTACCCCAGCAGCCTGGCTTCGAGGACGCTGTACGCTTCTGCACTGAGGCCCGGACCTTTGCGCTTGCGCTTTTCAGCGGGCTCCTCGTACGGCTCCACTTCCACCACATGACCAGCTTTTGCAACCTGCAACTGGAACTCGTGAAGCAAACGGGCGTCCGAATTGCGCCGCTCGGCCTCGGTGTGCGCCAGCGTGCGGAAAAGAGGCCCATCTTCGACCAAACGGACAGCCGCTGGTCCGTTCTCAGATCGCGACAACACGCGACGCCAGGCGACCGCCACCTGGGCATTGCAAGCTTGAAGGAACTGAAGTGTCTCTGCGGTCGTCACACGTCGCGGTGGGACAAAGAAACCAGGGGGGCGCGCCTGGAAAATGGAAGGAGCATGTCAGCTGATTTGTAACCTAGACAATCACCAATTTGCCACAGCAAGTCTCGGCTCCATCTGCACAAGTGCTACTACAAATCAGCATCAATGCCAATCTGGATGTCGAACACTGACAACCGAGTGCCCATTTTGATAATGACGATGCTTCAAGACGATGCTATGAACGGACTTATGCTGCATCGCCGTTTCTAGATGGCATAACTCGCCATCATCGAGCCCTCTGCTGGACCATTCAGAATCGAACCAACTATAACGTCCAAGCTTTCGATCCTTCTATCCGACAAGTCAAACATAAATTCACCTTGGGCTTCGTTTTCTTGGACGGAATCTGTTGGTCCGCGGATCCAGTCTCAGCCGGGGGCGATAAGTCCTGGGAGGCCTCTAGAGGCGACTCAACGGCGACTTGCTGATCGAGGCGTACCTGGTTGACAAAAACGGACATTGAATTCGCCTCCAACAAAGGGTGATGATTCGCGTGCAGAACCCGCATTGCAGTGCGAGTGTGAAGAAAAGCATGTGCAACAGGGACACGTCGGCCGTCCAATTGTCATATCAGCTGGAACACAGTTAACCTTGGGCGCTGCAACGAAACGGATCTGAACTCGTGCAGCACTCGACCAGTAAGATTCATGAAAGATGCCTAAAGGCTGAAGATTTACGGTCAAGTACCTCAGAGGTACCCCCCTCGCCAGCTTCATCATCCGGACCTGGCGGCAACGAAGACGTCCTCTGTAACCACAGAATGAAGGAAACACGTCAGCAACGCCCGACCATCAACATCTCCAAGTGTAAATTTCAAGAGACACGCCAGAATCTTGCAGTCGACACAAATCATGTGCAGCAAAGGCTGGTTACGGTTTGCAAAGATCACCAACAAGCAAGCTCGCTAGTGCTCAACACCACTTGCAACCACAATTGCCACTGAACCTTACCTGCAAGTGATCGGCAGGAATCTCCTGCGCGCAGTCAAGCCGGATAGAGATGCCTTGCTGCACAAAGCAGTACACGAGGGCGCTCTCCGTGCGCCGGACCCTCAGGGACGCCTGCCAGACAGCCCGCGCGGTCGTGCTCTTCTTGCACATGTAGAGGTACTTGCTGTAAAACCAGTCCTCATCGAAATTCACGCCCGCCTCAACCGAAGGGCTGTACATCAGCAGTCGGACCCTCCAGTTGACACTGACGTTCTCGAGAAGAGCTGCGTTTTCACCACCGCTCATTGCCCTGTGGACGAGGATGTCGTCGTCCGCTAGCCCGAGCCCAGCTTCGTGCGAAGTGACACGGTCGCGGATCCTGTCCAACACCCGGGCTGACATGCTGACGACGACGACGTTTCTATTGGCCGACAAATCAGCAACGATGCGGTCCAGCCAGCGCGCTTCCTCCTGGCAGACGCGGAACGTCAACGGCACCTGCAAACCACAAGAAGACATTCTGGATGTTGGGGCGGCACGGCTGTTGGCTAAGCTGACTGGTTGCCAAACACAATCTCATCCTCTTTTGCGTCCGCGCGTCGTTGGATAGAAATATATGCTTCAAATGTGATCCAGATGGTGGAACTGAGCGTAAAGTCGAACCGACTTCAATCTGGTGGTACACACGGTATGACTTTAAGCAAAGATGTACCAAGAAAGCACATCTTCTTTCTAGAAGCTTACTGGTCTATTCTTGGTACACGCCGTGCCGAGCCGCACTGCAAAAATCAATCCACTGACGACTTCAAGGGTTGACCAATGCAAACCACCGTTCCGCGAATACTGCTCCACATAAATAACTTGAAAGCGCCCGCCTCAAATCCAAAGGTGTCCACACATGATTCAGACCTCTGCTTGTTTCGAGAAACGAGGTATCTCCTGAGAAATGTGCACAGACCATTAAGTCTATCGTTGTTCGAAACAAGAGACGAAGAGTTCAAAGTACACAGCTGCAATTACAGTTTGGAGAGAGAAAGCTCACAATGCCACCATTCGGAACTAAACTCAAGACTTCAGATACAGCACTAGCCCCGCAATTGCAGTGACGTTCGAAGTGAAGGTCTAAACCCAAATTGCCGCCACGCTCACCGCTGCCCGCCTCCAGTTGATGACGAGCTTCCCCGGCACCCCCGCCAGCTGGAAGAATTCGTGCTCCCGCTGGCCGTACCCATCATCCATCGCCAGGACGCGCTTGGCGTTCTTCACGATTTCGCAAAAGAGCTCCCCGGTCTGCAGGCCGCTTCGCAAGGTTGCGGAAGACAGGTGCGCCAGAATGCTGGCCACCTCATCGAGAATGACGAGGTCGAAGGGGGCGACCTCGCCAATGCCATGAGGACGTAGGTTGAGGAGGCTATCCACCTGAACGACAATCTGGGGGAACTTGTCCCGGTTCTGGAGTGCCGTTAAGAGGTTGGTGCGACAGTTAGGATCAGGGAACCACTCGTCCTTATAGTCGGCTTTGAGATCCAGGTAGTTCGCAGTCTCAGGGAAGCGCTTCTTCAGATCCTTGGCCTGCGCCACCCGATACGTGATGTAGAGTTCATTGACCACCTGGGGAGCGCTCGTCTGACGAATCTCCTTGACTACATTCTTGCAGCATTCTGTCTTGCCAGTGTTGACCCCGGAGCGGAGACTGAGCCGGGAAAATCTCCTGCGAGCCACCTGCGCAGAGATTTCGAGACCATCGTTTAGGAAAATGCTCCTTGGGGAAGGTTTTCACAGCCTTGGGGCTTGACTGAAACCTTCACTTAATCAAGGACGTCGGAATACTCAGACCTGTAATCTCTCCATATCCGTTTTCAAACAAGCATTGGTTGAACATCTTTGCTCTACACCATGATGTATTCGCTCAAATGATCGTCCCGCACATGTGGAACCGTGCTTGATACTGCCGAAGACAGGTTACAAACCGCATTTAGGAAGGCCGGCCGGTAGTGATTGACAAGAGCTAAAGAGCTCGCAGGATCGGCAGGGATGCTAGACCAGGAATAAAGGAAGTGCCCCGGTGTTAATCTAGACAAGACAGTCTGACCAATTTTCGGATTTGGCCCTCAGCCCAAGCTTCCAAGCCATCGAATCTAGGTTGCCACGCATGCAAATCTTGAGTAAATGAGCGGAAACAGGGGGCAACCGAATTTGCTTGTTTCTAAGCTCAAAACCTTGCAAGAAGAGGGGCTTTGAGGCTCTTACTCGTTCAGCACTGTGTTCAGTTTCAGCGCATCCGTCGCCACCCTCTCCCCCTGAGCCACGGCAGCCAGAAGCTCGCGGTTCGACGCCTCAGGATCCCGCTGCAGATACTGCATGTCAACGCTGACGGCACCAGACTCGTAGGTGATGTTGTCCTCAAACAGCTCCCCGAGGCAGAAGGCCGTGCTGACACAGGGGGCTTCCGAATCCCCGACATTTGTGCTAAAGCAGAGGGCATAGATCTTGCCGTTTGGGTTCAAATGACACGTCAGATTCTGGTGGTTCTCATGGACCCGGCCGGTGTAGCAAGGCTCGGATCGATCAGTGTAGTTGAACCGGGGGCCCTCCTCGTAGGCAGTCGGGTGCAGCCGCTCCTTCAGCAACACCAGCATGCGGGCTTTGACAAAATCGTCGTTTCCTGAGCTCCGCTCTGTTCCCCTTTCGGACATTATTCGAGGATTTTTGAACCTTTCGTGGAGTCGACTGGGAAGCTGGAAAGGCAGCTTAATCTCCTCATGGGCCTGCACCAAAAACAACGCGCACAATGTCAACAGAGTGATGAGTTCGAGTGCCCGTGCCTTTTGACAACCGTTGATTGCCTGGAGCTCCGGCGTTTCAGATGGACCTCTGTGTCAAAAAGCCCTGGAAAAGTGGAAAGGTGAACGATGCGGCAGTTGATAATTACAACCCGGAACAATAAGCTTCTTTTAGTGATGCCGCAGCTCCTTGAATTGTGCGCATACGCAATTGTAGCAAAAGCAAAAGCTACGACTCAGTTAGCAAGCTGGTCAGCAGCAAACCCTACGATCAAGCGGAGTGTATTAATCGAAGCGAGTTCGCGACAAAGCAGGATGGTTGGTTGGTTAGCATGCTTAGCAATAATCAGGCTGGTTACCAGCCACTTAAGGAGTTCGCAACCAGAAAAGGAGGCGCTACTGTGCCAGCAGGGAGGATTGTCGATTACTGGGCTTGAGCAAAGGTCTTTGCTGGCTGGCCCTACAAACATACAAAGATCCGCAGAGCAGCTCACCTCCGGAGGTTCCAGCCACGTAATCAGAGCGTCTTTCCAAGTGTGCGCGGGGTTCACGAAGGTGAGCACGCTCTCCGGCTTCTCAATCTTGGCGCTACCGGGGGTGCGCCATTCCCTGTCCTTCGTGTACACGTTCAAGTCGATGAGCGAGGCAACTCTTGGGTGCCAGGGTTGCAGCCGTTTCTTGAGGCGCGTCGCAAAGTGTAGAGCGCCCTCCGAATTGGCCCCAAAAATGAGCTGGCGGGGATCAAGGTGGTTGATTGTCAGATGCAAGCTGAACTTCGACTGGCCCCCACTCTCCATCCAGACAAAGCTGCTCGGTCGCTTGAGCTGAACGTTGTAGCACTCTCCAAAGACAATCTCAGACCACTCTTCGACTATCTCGATCACCTCTGCCGCCGTATAACGCTCTCCGGCCCCCTCACCCCCCGGCTGTGCCCCCACTTCCGCCCCACTCTCACCACTCACCCCACCCGGAACTTCCGGGTTCCTTTGCTGCCCCTCAGTTTCCGCCCCCGCCACGTCTGTTTGCCTCATATCGGGCCTAAAGGGGAGCCCATCCTTTCCGTCAAGGTCGAGGTACGGCTTGCACGGCTTCCCGTGCTGGATAATCTCGTTGACCGACCCATGATGGGCCGCTCGGAGGTGTCTTTGGGCCGTCTCCCAGTCGGGATACGAGGCGAAGCTTCGCCACCCAATAGGAACCCCTGCCGGTGTTCGCTTGCCCGACCACTTGTGGAGCGCCACTTGCACCCCGTGGTTGAGGAGCGCAGCCTCTTGCTGCATGAAGAACTTGGGGCCGGGGAAGCGGCCCCTTGGGTTCTTTCCGGTCTGGTGGAAGCAATTGGTGCCGTAGCTATGAACCCGCATCACGCGGAACTCGTCCTTTCTGAAAACCTCGTTCCCGCTCAGAGTGTCCGAGTGCACCGCTGGCTCGGGCACAGCAACAAGGTCCTGGGAGAGCACCATCGATGACCCACCGTCCGCCCTGGAAGGGAAGATGATGGAATCCATAAGGGTTCGGCATAGAAAAAGAGAGAAAAAGGAGCCATTCAACAAGCGGCACCGGTCTGCCAGCACAAACGGGCGATGTTTGTTGATGCTGGGCGATCGCATCGGTTTCCGCCCTTACTGGAATCAGAAAGTGCCAGTTCAAACGGGTTTGAATTAACAGTAGAATAGAGGAAGAATAGGGGAAGGCTAATGCTAGTACCGCGGTTCTTACAGTATGGTTGGGGCGGGTCCTGAAATAGCACACTCGATCACAAACACGTGCCGGGCAGGTCTGCTGACATGTACCAAGAAACAACGTGTTACTTTCTAGAATACAATAGGGTCATTCTTGGTACAGCGCAAAAGCTGGTGGTATGGCCGGATTTGCAGCGGTGTACCAAGAAACAACCTGTTTCTTTCTAGAACACAATAGGGACTTTCTTGGTACCGTAGAAACTCGGCGGGATGGGGGGCAAGTCTGCTGACATGTACCAAGAAACAACGTGTTTCTTTCTAGAATACAATAGGGTCATTCTTGGTACAGCGCAAAAGCAAGTGCTATGGCCGGATTTGCAGCGGTGTACCAAGAAACAACCTATTTCTTTCTAGAAAACAATAGGGACTTTCTTGGTACAGCGCAAGCATTCAACGGTTCAGATGTTTTCCTAACGGGTCTGCTCACACAAGCGATCGACTGTCACATAGAAAACGGCCTCAACGTCTGGCCGAACGAGACAGGTCCGTGTCCGGAGGTGGGAGGAGGGGCCGACAATGCAATTTCTCACCCCTCTTCGCGCTGGCGCCTCTGCTCTGCTTCCATTCGCATGCCCGCAAACGCTGCGTCCAATGACTCCGGCGCGTCCCTAGCCTGCTGCTGCTCCTGCTCCATGGCCTGATAAAGGTTGACATCGTCGGCGCTCGGCTGAAGAGAGTCATCGATGCCGCGGTCGTCCTCAGAAGTTGGCTCTTCCTCTGACTCTGACTCGTCGGAGGTGTCCCCGATTGAGACAGAGGCATCGTCCGGATCCATAGGGGCAGCCGGCAACGACTCCTGCAAACAGGCGTGCAAAGACGAAGTTAGATCTCGACTCATGACCAGCATTAGGGAATGTAGGCTGGTCAATCAGAATCATGAAGCTGTAGCATGCCATGACAGACCACAAAGAAACTCGGTTTGCACGATCAATCCAGATTGCCAGACCGTCCGACATGCTGTCAGTTGCACATTCGAAGGCAGAAAAGAGACAAAATCAGAGTCCTTAACCAGGCCAAAGTCCCACCCGAAGCAAACATCTGGAGAGCACAGAATCACTAGGCTAGACAGATAAGGATTCGGATCACGTTGGTTGCCCTCTCGACGGTTTCGACAACGCGCAAAGGGTCAGAGTGAACTTGACGAGTATCAAGTCCTTCATTGAATCTGCGATTCCACTTATGAGGCTCAACGAATGGAGGCTCACCGTGTTCGATGACGGGTCATCTAGCATGGGAGTCTGGTCAGCAGCCTCCGTCGAAGCGACGACGGCCCCTAGTGTCTCGCTCGACCCATCGAGGCGGAGAAGTCCCGATGCTGCCTGCAACGGACCGATAGTGCCGTTAAAAGCCTGATCTTGGGCGCAACTTCGGGCGCCCCGTTTATGGCTGCTACAAATCTGCTTCATATACACCCGTCCAGTGACGAGGGTGTGCATTGATAAATCCAGGCAGGATCGAATACCTCAGCGGCTCTTGATGCTGCAATTGAACAGACAATTGGAGCACAAAACTCACCAAGCTCGGAACTTCAGCCGCGGAGCCCCTCGCACGAGAGTTGGCGCTGACCCGAGGGCTCCTCCAGACGGAAGACCTTTTCAGGCCCACGACCCTCCCCGACTCGCCAGCGCGGCCTTCAAGTGACGCCGGAGCCTGCATACGAAAGCACTTTCAATCACTGCAGAGCCTGCAGACCTCCACAAGGCACCAAAATCAATCGACCTGCCGTCAGGAACTTCGGGAATTAGTGGTGGTGATCATTTCACTGCAAACTGCGTGTACCACAACAAAAGGCCACGTGGCCCTCGAAAGACTGTCTGGACACAGCAGAAACGTACGCACCTGGAGCTTTTCGGCTGCTTCGAGGCCCGTTGCAGGGCCGCTCTCAATTTCGGAGAGCGGCTGCCCAAAGGGCACATCCTCGGACATGCCAGAGTGGTCGAGATCTAGACTGGTCGCACTTGCGAACGGGCTGCCAATCTACACGAAACAACACCAGCAACACTTAATAATCGGTTTGCGGGCAACTTACTTCAGGCATGCGACAAGGATGACTCGAGTGGCTTGACCAGTGGCCATGTTGTCGAGCTTAGAGAGACGCTGCGGGTGAAAATAAGTCCAATCCAGTGGCCGTAACGGTGGAGACACCCCTATCGAACAAGCAGATAAGCGACCTCTTTGAACTCGACAGTACAGACACCGAAGCGTGCGCTTATGCAGGAATGTTCTATGATGCAATCTCCGACAGCATCAACGACCTTTCTAGAAAGTATGGTGTGGCGCTTGGACGATGAGGCTGGATTGGCCGGCGCTGATCAAGAAATGCAAAGAAACGGGCGGCTTCAAGTTGAAGGGCCCAGGGATTATCGTGAACTTTTGCGGACGGTGGAGCAGGAACGAACCAGACGCCGTGTGCTGACTTTGAACCTAAGAGCTCACATCCACCACGGTCTTCTACGAAGATGGTTTGTACGCTAGTGGCTACAGATGAATTGAGATTGCCCCGATTCCTGGAGAACCGCAAATGAATGATGCATAGTGGAATGACGAAAAAGGAGTCCTATACTCGTAATATAAATCCCCACAAACCAGCACAACCGGGGCCAGCACTATGCACTTGAGAAGCGACTCAAAGACACCCATGTGGTTCTGGTCCCGACCTATGTAACCCAGCGGTGCACTTGAGTCGCCAACGCTGAAAATAGCTATGGCATAAGGGTCGTGCACGTTTGTATGGTCCCTTACGAGTAAGAGCGCCTGGCCAGCTTGGAGCTGGCATACAGCTGCCTGGCGGCCTTCGAAGCTGACTCCCACAGCACGGCAAAGTGTGCCCGGAACTGATTGATCCATTCGCTAAAACTTGGTCGAATCGAAGAAACGCACCCCCTAAGCTTGCATGTAAAGCACTCACCTGTTCCTCGGGCTCACGGGGCAGGTCGCTCTGCTCACGAATCCTCCTGCCCCTGGAAATCGCATCTTGGACGCTCTCGTCCGCCGCAGCCGGGTTGTCCGCCCCTTCCGCCCCTTCCGCCCATTCCGCTCCCGCCGCTCCGTCCGCCCCTTGCCATCCCTCTTTCGCGCTCGAGATCTGAACACAGCCGCCCAACAAAGCGCTTACTTGATGGTTCGCGAGAAGACGAGTGGGTAATTGATCGCAATGTACCAAGATTCGCCATTTTACTACTCAAAAGAAAAGGGGACAGGGTTTCGTACAACCTTGCAAGACCGGCCCATCCCAGCAGTTCTCCACAAGTTGTCATTGAGATTGATCGCACTGTACCGAGAATGAACCCTTGATCTTCTAGAAAAGAAAAGGGTAAACCTTGGTACAGCCAGGCTGCAGATCAAAGTGCTCTCGCTTTCCCTTTTCCGCAACAAACCAACCCAAACCGGCATTGTTCTCGGTTGCCAAGCGGCAGATCTCCATGCAACGGCCGCTTTGCTTCCAATCGGACTCACCTGCTCGCTCAGCCGTCTCTCCGTCCTCCACTGTTCGAACAAGGATACTCGCTGGACTTCCAATGACCGCGCGCTGGTATTGTGAACCTCCTGCAGAGAACGGTTGGTCACGACTTCAGACGTGATTTTTCTTGCAAAGATAGGTGCGACTTCCTCGCGCCACCGCCAAAAACGACGCTTCCGCGAACAGTAAGACCACCATGAGTCCACCGACTTGCAAAGCATACTGCAACTTGCTGCTGCCAGCAAATACTGTACGGTTCAAAACTGTGATCGATGTTCGACTGAAGCCAAGGCAGGACTTCGATGTTTACAACCCCAAGTCACACAGGGCTCGAAGCACGCTTACCTCCCAACGGGGCACCGCGATGAGTGGCCCACCGGAGCTGGCGTCTCGTCTTGGCATGGTCTCGCCCTTGTCAGCAGGGTCTCCCTTGTCCTTGCTGACTGCAGCGTCAGGCACAGGTGCAGGCCCGGGATTCTTCTCGACACCACCAATCATCAGGAGCTTCGCTGCATGGGAAGACGACATATTGAGCTGCTGGATGCTCGAAATCCATGGCTTGACACAAAAATCGCCTTGGTGTGGGCGTACGATTGATATCACGTTTCAAGTTTGCAAGGAGCTGCAAGCCTGCAACCGAGGGCCTCACCTATGAGGGAACTGCTCTTCGGCGTCAGATCCCAGTGCACCGCATCTTGCCAAGACTGGTTCCAAGCTGCAAAAGCAATAGTGAAGGGGCCGGGTTATGTGCCAAACCACTGCAGACACCGAAGGCACCGAAGGCTGTGCGGCAGTCGGAGGGCCCTCCAGCTACAGCAGACAAGACAGATAGCAGAAATGTTGAGCTGGCCAAACCAGGGTTCAAGAGGATCGATCTTGAACTTGAGAATCAATCAAACCAGACCCGTCGGCAGCGGTGGGCGCTCAATTGACTCTTCAGTCTGTTCTACAGCAGGTGAGGCTTTTCCCAATTGCCGCAGCTCCTCTTCGAGCCGGGCGACCTCTGCTTTCAAGCCCCAATGTTCAGCCCGGTTCTGTGCCCATGCTGCAAGAGGCAGGGCAGCGGTGGTCAGTAATGAATCACTGCTGCTGTGGAATAGAAGGGACTCGTCTCAAGACCGAAGAAGATGCAAGTGGGCAAGGGCCACCAAGGGCCGCCAAGGGCTGCCAAGGGCTGCAAACAGCTCGGGTACTTCGAAGCTGCTCCAATCAATTAGCTCTCACCTGCGCGGTCTTTGTCCACGCGGAAACAGCCATTGGAATTGAGATGCTCTGCGCAAAAGTACTTGAGATCTCCCCCATCCTTGCTTCCTCGGAGCCCAAACGCCGCGGTGGCGCCGCACTCACGACAATGAAGAGTATGTGGGTCTGCAAGAAAGAAGATGCGGAGAGGTTGGATTAGAATATGGAGTCTGAACCTGGAGGGGCATGCAGAACTCGGTGCGTGCCGCGACCCACCCCCGCCTTTTGCGGTCATGCCCCTAGTTCTGGCAGGGGGGTTGGGGGCATGTAGCTGACAGCGTGTACCAGGAATCACCCTTGTATTATTCCAAAGAGAAAGCGCATGTTCTTGGTACACTGCAGGGACGGCCATCCCACTGACTTTCTACTGTACCAAGAATGTCCCTCTAGTCTCTTAGAAAGAAACAGGCCGTTTCTTGGTACATCCTGCAGGCCCCGGCCATACCACTGCTTTTCTGCTGTAATTGATGGCATGTACCAAGAAATGGGAATGATTGTTCTAGAAAGAAAGAGGTAGAACCTTGGTACATGTTTGCAGGCCCGGCCATACCACTGACTTTCTGCTGTAGTTGATGGCATGTACCAAGAAATGATAATTATTGTTCTAGAAAGAAAGAGGTAGAACCTTGGTACAAGGCCCGGCCATACCACTGACTTTCTGCTGTAGTTGATGGCATGTACCAAGAGATGGGAATTATTGTTCTATAAAAGAAGAGGTAGAACCTTGGTACACACCCCTACAGGATGGTACACCATTAGAGGGACGGCCATGCCCAAGATGTTTGTGGTTGACATGATGTACCAAGATTCAACCTTCTATCAATCTAAAGAGAAACGGATGTACTTGATACACAGCAGGGACGGCCATGCCTGCTAGGATTGCTCAAGCGTTTGCGGCTGATAGCATGTTTTAAGAAATGCCCATAAGTCGTCTAGAAACAAAAGACACACTTCTCGGTACATCCCTGCAGAGCCGCTCCCCCCCTCCCCACAATCCACCCTCCCCTTCACCCTTCACCTCTCTGACGGACGCTGCCGTTTTGGCGCAGTGCATCCCAGCTTCTGCACCCACTCAAACCAATCAATTCAGAAGCACAGGCACCAGTAACTCACCTGTTCCCAAAGCTTTGCCGAGCAATTTCGCAAGGGGCTGCTTTGCTCTCTTCGTTGCACTTCCGGGCGCTTTGCAAGAACGGCTCCGAGCTGACCCACGAGCAGCCCATGCCTCATTCTTCAGAACCCTACTCTTCTGGCCCCGTCGCCTACGAGGGGCATCTTGAACATCGCAACCAGCGTTCATGGCAGCGATGCACGCCTCCTGCTTCTCAGCGCTGATGCTTATCCTCTCCCTATACTCAGCAGCGCGCTCGTATCGAGCAGCCTGACAAATCCTATGATCAGACTTGGACCGACCATGAGGCCGGCCTCTTGCCATGATGACACAATTCAATGAACAGCTTTGGTGCCCCTGCAAGGTCAAAAGGAGAGTTAGTACTGGATACTCGCTGTCTGAACAAACGTGCAGCTCAGGCAGCCTCCGATATCTGTGGAAGGACGGAGTGGGCTGATGGAAGAAAGCGACGCAGAGCTCTCAAACCCATGTCTGACAATATTGCAAATAAAACTTAGCTTTGAAAGCTGTGGAAGCTTTGGAAGCTTTCTCAGCCGCATTCAGATGCGGTGCAAAAGCTTGCATGATCTCCAAAGCCTGAATAATGATCTTCAGCGAACCCCACTTTATATTGACACCGCCATCAGATTGTGAAAGTGAAGCGTCTGCCGCCACTAAAGCTAGCTGAAGCGCTTCAACTGCGCACACTTTGCGATCACCAGCGGATTGTTCAAAGCGGCTATTTGCAGCTGCCGAGAGTCAGGCTGAACCGCACTGCCCATCAGTTGCAAACTAGAGACTTACAGAGCACAGCGCCAGCCTCAGACCACGCACGCTTCGGGGACAGTCACAAGAGCAGCTTACCTACTCCACAGCAATCTGGATACTCCGCTGCAGCTGATCACACTAGGCATCCCTCATGGATATCAATTGCCTATCAATCGCAGACCCTAGCTGAAACTCCGCCTGCTAGCACAAGAAAGCGCCACTGCCCTGAGGCTGAGCCTGGCTCAGAGCTAATGCCATCCTCCTTCTCTTGCATGCATCAAACTTGCAGCGTTTTCAGCTCACGCTTAACCTGAACTGACCTATCACAGTGATGGCAGTGTTGGCACCCGAGTCGCACGCGAGTTCTGTTTGATGGCGCATCAGTTCAACGGCTCCGTTCTGCGAAGTGCTCAGTGCAAGCAGCTAGCGATAGTCCACCAGTCAGCAGTTTTCCAGTAGCAGGGAAGGGTTCAATTGTCTGTGGTAACGGCATGGCCTAGGTCCCTTTGGGTCATAGCCTATGCCAGAAGGGGCGCCCGGTAAACGCACCGTGCGTGGGAATGCATGCCCTCGCCAATTTTACTAGTGAATGGGACGGGCCTTCAATAGACCGGAAACAACCGGCCTGATCCTATATGACAGGCAGGGCACATTATGGGGGCATAGCGCATGCAAAGAGGCGGTGGTTGGGGTGCTCGGTATACATTCTGCAAGGTCGCGCAACTGGTCACCTACCTATGCGGAAGGGCTAACTGGTGCCACATTATGCTGCTTGTCCTCTATGTAGCAGAATGTGCACTAATCTGACTCGATGAACTTAGTCAGGGACCTCACTACGCTGCATTTTGTATGGAAGGAAAGAAAGTAATCGAGTGCAATGCATAGAGTAGCATCAACCGCTAGACAAGCTTCCGATCCTCACATAAGTATAGGACTACACTTGACGGTATCCGTCGATCAATATATGATTACTTCTCCATCAAACATGAGAATTAATCATGTAGGCTGGTATAAAGTGCGCGTATATATACGTAGGTGGTATATATACATACTGGAAAGGTGCATCGCCTAGATTAAGGTGCGTGCTTAGCCACAAGCTCCGCAACAATCTTGGGCATACTCCTATCCATACACAATGTTCTCTACTAAAGCACAGTGCTCCTCGGATATAACAGGCCAGTTATGTGTCGCCAACCAGAGCAAAAGCTGTTCCGCATCATAAAGGCCCCCTCACTTCCACTGTTTTGCAGCGACTGCCACACACGACGTGGGCATGTTCGTACCCCGGGGTGAAGAACACCTCGATCATGCCCGGACGAGCTACCGGTACATGTCCCTCCGACCACGTCGTGCGGAAGTCGATCACCGCCCAATCCTTCACCTTAGCGCGCTCTAGCAAGTTGCTGTACCGGCCCCCTTGAATGAACCTGTAAGAGGAGGCCAGATTTTTGAGAACGTGACATGACTTGGGGCAGCCCTTGAAAGTGCAGAAATAACCACCTAGCCAGAGGGATCCAGCAAAACCGTTTGCAGACCTGACCACCACACGTCAGAATAGCAAGGGCCCAAGCAGACTCTAGTCTGGCATTGACAGCAAAAGCGCTCAAAAGATCACCTGTCCAAGTGACCGTCCGGATCCTTTCCTTCCCTCATGATCTCAACGGCCCAGAGCAGCGGGGTGCCTAGGAGAAAGTCGAGGTAGCCGTTGCTCCCGTACAGCCTACCGACATCAGGTGATATGCATACTTCGAGAGGGGTGAAGCGGCGTGCTTCGCTGCAAGCAGAATCTTTGTTGAGGCTAAGAGGCGCAAGAACAGCGTATTTCACAAAATCTATGCCCGCAGACGCTGCAACAGAGATGACAAGCTATGGACGTTGCAACAGAGATGACAAGCTATGTTTCATATCTTTCGTACCCTTCAAACGAAACCGTCCGGACAGCTGGTTGTGATAGAACGCTCGACACATAGAATCAACAACAAAAAGCACCAACAGATTCGAGCAGCTTTTACTTACTAATAGAAGAGGTTCTGATAAAGCCGCTCGTACACAGGCTCTCCTTCCGCGCGCCGGGAATCTGAATACACAAGCTCGGCTCGGTTGAACCGCTCGACTACAGCGACGATGAACTCAAACAGGCCCTGCTCCCGGATGACGGCTGTGGTGGACCGACCAGCATAAAGCTCCCTCGTTAGGTACAAGAAGTGCAGCTGTGATGGCAGATGGTACTTGTTTGCCTCGAACACGAGCTGACCCCAGCGCGTGTACTTCCGTGCAAGCTCCAAGGTTGGTGGGGCCAGCTTCGACTTGTCGACCTGTAGACAGGGAAGAAGCGGCCACACTTTGAAAGCTATAGAAGTATTCCAGGAAGATCACACAGTTGCAAAAGAGGCTGGCCCACTGCAGGACCAGAGCAATCTAGTGAGCAGAGCGGGTTTCTGAGGAACACAGATCGTCCCCAACACGTCCTGGTTGGGAAGGAAGCCTTGCTGAAGCAGTCCTTGACTGGTCTGAAACGGAAGTCAGATGGAGAATGTTTACATTGATCGACAGACAGGTGAAAGGACAGTGAACGTCAGAAGAATGCATGAACCCTTCAAAGCAGCCAAGATACGCACCCCTTCTCCACCTCGCTGCAGCAGCTCCCGCAGGAGATCCTTAGCAAGCCCAGCAGACTCTGTCACATTCAGACTCCCCACAATCCTGCGAGGCAGGCCACAGTGACTGGTTGAGTGCACGCTACAACCTTGTCACTGTGTACCAGGGCCTGTTGAGAAGCTGAGGCACATTGAGCTTGCGAGTTCCAATGTTCCAAGCAGAAGCAAGGGGTGCAACAAATGCAGCCTAGACGAGTTCTGGAGCTTGTTTGGTTCCACCAACAGTGTCCAGCGGAGCAGATCCATCCTCAAAGCAAAAGTATTCAACAGGTATGCATCTTCCGTACCTCTGCATACTGCGCAGGTCCTGCATGGCCCTAACAGGCTGCTCCGAGAGCAGGTACTGCTTCATGCGCTTGTGCCAGGTGTCCTCTTCGAGGTAGCCCCACCCCTGGTCCTCGATTTTATCGAGCAGAAGCGATAAGGCCCCCGGCTGCCTCTCGGTGAGGTCCATCAGGTACTCCATCTCGGACTCGGTGGACATGTAGTGACTCCAACCGTTGCCTTCCACCCAGGAACCCCAGTACTCCTCGGCCTCTTGCACTGTTAACTGGAGTCCTAGTCCAACGGTTGCGTTGTACCTGCAAAGCATGTGTTGCTTCAGGCAAGCCCCTCTGCAGCTACTGCCTCAGCCTCTAAAGGAGACCATCAAGCATGCAGGATGCTGGAACATAAAGTCAGGCTTCTGCTAGGCCTCTACTCCTTCATCGCAAAAGAGTCGAGGAACAGGGAAGCCGCTACACATGCAGCCCTCATCAAGAGACAACGGATGATCCGATTGACACTTGCGGCCTGCATAAGGCCGAGCGGACGCAGCTGTGCTGAAGAGCAGAAATGAGACACAATTCGAGGGGAATCTGGCTTGCAACTCGGCAGGGGGTGATAACTCACCAACAAGTCACAGTATTTGTAGCATCCCAGGTCCCCGGGGTTGCATAGGACAGAGATGTTGCTTCTTGGACGTCCACGATGTTGCTGCCCCAACTCGAGACCATCAGAATCTTAAGGTTGGAGGTCAGCTGCCCTTGGATGCTTTTGACCTTGCCGAACAAGTGCAAGTGGGGATGGATGAAGGCTTTCTGAGCCTCATCTACAATGATCACGGTGACAGGCTGCCGGGGAGCTGGGGTCTTTGTTGGGCTGGGGCGGGGGCTCAGAACGCTCTCAAAATCCACGTCTGGATTCTGCCGCTCCCACACTTTGTCAAACGCATCAGGGTGATCTGGGTTGTACTCTTGCAGCGACAAGTGGAAGATGCGCACGTCAGCCCCAAATTGCGTCTTCAAGTATGTAGCCAGAAGCTGAAGAGTGGACGTCTTGCCAGTTGCCGGAGCAGACCTTATCAGCACAGCATGCTCTTTGAAGAGCAGCTTCGTGAGCTTCTCAATGGTTTCCTGCCTGGGCGTATAGCAGTTGTCATGCCGCCTCTTATTGATGCCCTCCTTCCGATTGCCAAGCTCGGGAAGGTCGTGAATGGATGTTGGAACGGGCCTTCTTGCAGCTGCAATTGTGAACCAAGAAGAGTTAAAGGCCTGTCCCACACGCATCGTCCTGCACATCATAATGGTGTCGCTCGTGCTTGTTAGTGCGAGTTGATCAAAGGAGATGTGCTATGAACCCCTTCCGGTTAGGTACGATGGATGGGAACTTCTCAGGAGCATTCCCAAGAGACTCTCAGATGCACTCAGGTGGGAGTGTTCATCAAAGACCCGCAGCTACTCTAGTCATGAGGAACGGGATTAACACTTTTGTGATCATCAAAATATGGAAGCAATTATCCGCATGAAACTCGCTATCTGCGCAACTTCGAATCAAGAATGGCGAGAAAGCAGGACCACCAGCGCAATCTAGGAAAAGCAGATCGTAAGCAGAAGGCATTGGTCAACGGGCCACACAAGAGACAGGACATGAGCGGCATGACTCACGGTTCTGGTTCTCTTGGTCAGCATCCTGCATCTCCACGTCCTTAGATTGGCCCGCTTCTGCGTCCTTACCCCTCCTGCCAGCAGCTGCAGCAGAGATATAAGCAGATGAGGGCGCTGCATGTTAAGCTCCGAGGCAGCGAGCGACGGGAAGATTTAGCCATTGCAAGATTGCATAAGTGTGACAGCTGAGAAGCACCCTGGGTTTTCATGAGTTGCACCTGGTCTGCCGACAGCTGCACAGCAAACCACTTTCTGCTCGAGAGCAACTCTGCTTCTGCTGGAAACACCCCATGCCTAGCACGCACCCGTGTCCTCGGCTAGATCGACAAAGAAGCAACTATATTGCCTGCGCAACACCTGCCAATCAGCAATGTCCCTTCCCATGCCATCTCTCCAAGCTTTCCCGCCGCCACATGCTGACCAACAGCACCAGAAAGCTCGAATCCCTCGCTTCCAAAATGCTGAAAACCTCTAGTTCTGATCTCCAAGTGGATTGCATCGAAGCTAGCCTAGTCATCAAACAAAAGAAGCGGCTTGCCTCCAGCGTTTTCAAGGAAATCGTCCCAGCCATAAGACCACTTCGCCCCAACATTCTCGTCCTCGTACGCCTTTTTGTACTTGTCGATCGCAGCCAAGCGCCGTTCAAGAGACTTGCCTCCCCAGTCTGCGAAGTGGACCTTCTCCTTTGCCAGGTAAGCAAGCAGCATAGCTCCGATTCGCGGATTAGCTTCCTCCCAACTCCTTCTGCATGCTTCAATCTGTGGCAGGGGAAACATTGGATCGGCACAACAGTGTGTAGCCCGCTCTGGCAGTATCACAGACACTGTGCGAAGACATAGAGACACATAGTTGCTTTCCCATGCTCGAGTACAACCATTGCTCATCGCGCCCTGCACTGCAGAAGTCCCCTTGTCCAGGCTCACCTCTTCTTCATTTGAGAGCGGTCCGGGATTGCTCTCAACGCCACCAATCGTTAGCAGCATAGCTGCAAGAGAGGACTACACATTCAGACGAGATGCCCGACCCAGCTGGACTGATTCAAAGCGGATCACAGGATCCTCATGCAAGACACAAGAAGTGTCATGGGGACAAGCCAAGTGCTCTTCAAGTGTTTGCATGCTCTGGCCAACTGCTCAAGAAACGATTGCAGCAGAACAGAGCTGCAATCAAAGTGCCTTACCTATGAGCGATCGCTTCATGGGCATCGCAACCCAATCCCTTGTACTCTGGAACTCCTTCCAAGGTGCGGAAGCGCACGGTGAAGCGCTGGGTTGCTCTGCTATAACAGAAGCATCACATATCAGCAAATAGAAGAAGGAACACAACGCATAGAAGGGAAGTCATTGCCCCCCAGTTTGAACACGAGCAAATGAATCAGACTGGCCCAAACAACACCGCGCGCTCACCTGCCGCTGGTTCCGCTGCGAACGAGGCCCCTCCCAGTTCCCGCAGCTCCTTCTCAAGTCTTCTCTCTTCTGCTCTCAAGCGGCACATCTCTCGGTCCTCTACCCAATCTGCAGGAGCATACAGAGCAAGTAAGTTTCGACACTCTACTAGAAAGACTCATCGCTAAAGACCAGGGGGGCAGCTATGAATGTTGCATGAACCTCAGACCCAACTCAAGGCAGCCCCTGAATGCTCTCACCTGCGCGGTCAGTGTCGATGCGGAAGCAGCCAGGCAGAACATGCCCTCTGCATAAGTACAGGACCTCCCCCCCCCACTTGCTTCCTCGCAGCCCGAACTCCGCGGTAGCGCCGCACTCGTGGCAGCAAAGAGTATGTGGGTCTGCAAAGAAGATGAGCAGAGGTTGGGTAAGAACCTGGAGTCCGAACTTGAGGAGGCATGCAAAACTCGCAGCGTGCCGCAACGTACTCCCGCCCATTTGAATCATGCCCGTATTTCCTGCAAGGGGATTAGTAGTTTGTAGCTGACAGCACGTACCAATGATAAACCTTGTATTGTTCTGAAGAGAAAGCGGATGTTCTTGGTACATGCCAGGGACGGCCATCCCCACCAGCTTGCTTTGAGTGATGGCATGTACCAAGAAATAACCATTAGTGTTCTAGAAAAAAAGCGGCAGAACCTTGGTACATCCCTACAGGCCCGGCCATACTACTGCGTTTCTGTTGTCACTCATGACTGTACCAAGAAATGGGAATTAATGTTCTAGAAAGAAAGAGGTAGAACCTTGGTACATCCCTACAGTCCCGGCCATACCGCTGCCTTTCTGTTGTAATTCATGGCATGTACCAGAAAAGGGGGATTAGTGTTCTTAAAAGAAAGAGGTAAGAACCTTCGTACATCCCCACAGGCGCGGCCATACCACTGCTTTTCTGGTGTAACTCATGGCATGTACCAAGATATGGGAATTAGTATTCTAGAAAGAAAGAGGTAGAACCTTGGATCACCATCATAAAGGGACGGCCATGCCCCACATGTTTGTAATTGACAGCATGTACCTAGATTCAACCTTCTATCACTCAAGAGAAAAACATGTTCTTGGTGCAGGGGAGGTCATGCCTGCTAGGATTGCTCAGTCTTTGCAGCTGACAACACGTACGAAGAAATGCCCCTTCAGCCTTCTAGAAACAAGAGACACACTTCTCGGTACAACCCTGCAGAGCCAGCCCCCTCCTCCACCCTCCCCTTCACGTTTCGCCTCTCTGACGGACTCTGCCGTTTTAGCACAACGCTCCCAGCTATTGCTTGGCCTCTGCTAAGCAATTCAAATAACTCAAAGCAGGAGCAGATGCGACAGAGCTCACCTCTGCCCGCAGCTTTGCCAAGCGCATGTTCCAGGCGCTTTTTTGCTTTCTTCTTTGCACTGCCAGATGCTTTGGAAGAACGGCCCCGTACTGACACCCGAGCAGCCCCCGACTTTGTCTTCGGATCCTTAGGCTTTTGGCCCCGCCGCCTACGAGGGGCATCCTCTACTGTGCATTCTGCGTTCACAGCCGCTATCCGCGCCTCTTGCTGCTCAGCACTGATGGCGATCCTCTCCCTATACTCAGCAGCGCGTGCATGTTGAGCTGCCTGACAAACTCTGTGGTCAGACTTGGACCGGCCATGAGGGCGGCCTCTTGCCATGACGAGACAGCTCTACTCTGCTCCTACAAGGCCAAGAGAGATGATGAGACTTATACTAGGAAGCGCCCCCACAGCTTTACAGAACACCAATTCCTGTTGACATTAATTGCCGGCCAACCTGAAAGCCCTGAGCCACATCAATCTGCCCTGCAGCTTCTCTAAGGCCGCCTGCTTTTGGCTCTGTCATTCACTGCAAGAGGCCTAACGCACACGGAAGCCGCGAAACCTCTGAGAATTTGCCACCGAAGAAAGTGAACTGTGGAAAGTGAGCAGAATTGCGGCTAATTTGCCACACTGCGAGGCCTCATCTCAATGGACAAGGAAGCTGGACGTCTTCGTTTTGGCGTGCTGAATGGGAACGGTCTGTGAGTACTTGGTAACGGCACGGGCTGAGCCCGTATAACGGCGCCGGGCCCCTTTGGCTCATAGCCTATGCCCGAGGGGGATGACCCCAGGGCCCCCCGGTAGACGTACCCGGCTGGGTTGGGTGGGAATGCAAGGTCGCGCCAACTGCCACGAGTCGCCCCCCGCCATAAAGAAGTCATGCACAGCATAATCCATACCAGGCTGACGTCCCATGGTGGCGTTAGTGGGCATACTGGGAGGTGGGGCACTTAAACGCGAGAAAACTGTCGGCCGCGGGTCTAATCTGTCCAATATGGACGCTCGTGACACTGGGGGATCATCCCGAGGTTCCCACAATGACTGACGGGGAGCCTGAGGGGGAGGACCTGGAATCGGGGGCTGGGAAAATGACCGAGCTCCTGACTGCTGCACTACCCCCCTCAACTGACGGATCTCGGCCTCTTTGGCCGCAATCTGGGCCTGGGCCTGAGCCAACTGGAGTGCAAGAGACGGATCGAGTCAAACAAAACAGGGGGGGCTGCTGTACGCGAATCAGTGCGTGACACCCCGGAAAGACCGTCCTGAATGCCTGGAATCCGTGCATCGAAAGAGACCCCCCCCGTGAAATCTGAGTCTGCCCCCTATCAACATGAACAGCCAATTGCTGAGATCCCTGGGGGGCACTCGAACTCGGACCAATCTCACCAAGATTGAAGGGGGGGGCACTGGGGCGCAATCTGCGGGGCCCCCCAAGCCGGGGGAGGCTGGATTCCTCCTCCCGGTGCTGCGGACGAATCGGTGCGTCCGGCGTCTGCTCCTCAACGGGTCCCCCCAAGGACAGAATCAGCCGCCGGCGCGTCAGTGGGGACCACGTACATGGGTACGTCAATCTCGTCCTCGTCCGGGTCTGGGCCGTAATCAAGCACCTCATCCGCCAACTGAAAGGCTGTTGGGGAGATGTCGGGGCGCGGAATCTCAGACATCGAGGAGAAACTTCCTGCGCACAAGGAAAAGGCTGCTTGGGCGCAATTTGGAATTCATGAACAATTGCAGCTACGAGTTAGGCTAGTCTATGCACGTAGCTCTAATCGTTATGCTCGGAGACTCTGTCTTCACTGCTTCGTCGAGGCTGCAGATTCGGGTGGAGATCTTGTTGTCCATGCATTGGCTGATAGCTGGATCTTTTCCACGTCGACGCGCCAGCTGGGAAAAATAACCGGGCAGCTGTCACTCGGACGTCGCGCTGGCGCGGTACGCACGGGGTGGGTACCCGGTTCCTGCGAAAAGGGACACGTGGTCACGAGCAATCCGCTCGACAGGCCTCGACCGTTAATTTGGCTCCGTTACCCGTGAGCCCTTGATTATGACGTCTGACTCTATAATCAAATACGAGATTCATGTACCCCGACCAAACAAACGAAAAACCGTAACCTGAATTATCGCCCGTCCGTCTCGCTCACCATTTTGCCGGGAGTCATCAGAAATGTTTCGAAATCGAATCACGTGGCAGGGGAGATATCGCTGATATACCTACTCCACCGGGCCGTGGACGGATATATCAGAAACCTCTTGGCAGGTTCGACGGCGATGTTAGTGCGGACTACGCAATGAGCGAGTTATACCAGTCGAGCTCGACGATATCGAAGGCTCCTTGTCGACCTCGAGCTTGATATCCCCCTCGGGGCTCCTCCCTCGGGTGGATATCAAGCTCCACATCAGCTCTCGTTCGACGCGAAACCATCGATATCGCCGAGTTCTCATGGTAAACTACTACTACCTATTAATCATGTGTTTAGTAGTACTTTACCATGAGACCCCCAGCCCGCTCTAACCACCTCACTCACAGTAACCCCACCCGTCCCCCGAGTGCCTTTTCTAAATGTCACGCTCGCGTTTAACTAGTCTTTAAAAAAGGCGTTTGATCACGCGTGGATCAACCGGACGTTAAATCTGTACCGGCAGCCGTCGGTGACAAACCGGCGGTCCCGTACATCGTAGACCGTAGAGTCTGAGGACGATCGACGGCCAAAACCAGAGGCCGAAGGCCTGCGGTCGGTTGAAGACTAGGCCGACTGCGTACGGCGACTCGAGAAAATTACCAGAGTACCAGCTGGAGCCTATGGGCGAATGTCAAAGTCGCTGTGGAATACTTGGTTCTGCGCCGCAGAGCGCCGGAGTCTTCGGGTCCTACACCAGCTCTATACTTTCAAGTCCCATCCGAACAGTTTTTCGAGTGAAGGAACCTCGGCTTGAAAGAATTAGCTGTGAACCTATGTGCGCCGCTCTGCGGGATGCCAAAAAGAACGCAGTTTGACCGTGATTTGAACCCTGAACCTGAGGCCTTTGGAACTGCGCGCTTGCCAATGTCCTACACCGGCATTCACCGGGCACAATCTTGTCCAGCGAAAGAAGCCCTCAAGGGGGTTATATAGGGGCACGCCCCGTTTAAATTGTTCACTAGATTGTCTCCAGTACGGTACTGAGTTGGCAGTGAGTCCTGATTCCTGACGTCCCAGTACATACCGTACGTACGGTACCCACATACCTATGAGATAGGTACTCAATATTATTCATGTGCAGTCAGGAGTCAGGTCAGGAGTCAGCTCTGAGCAGTGAGCAGTGAGCACTGAGCAGGCAATTGATACCTACGCGGTAGGTACGGTGTACGTACAATAACTTTCGATTTTATGTTGAGTTAGGTGTATGTTGAGCTAGATCAGTACCCGGTCACACACAAACTAAATACATAAACCCAAAGTTAACATGCTCCGCACCCGTACCCACCCTAAACCTCCAAACCAACACCACCCGTCCCCCGGGCATGACTTAAACCACCACCCAACCTATAAAACCGGGCAATTTCGATGCTGACGTGGCATAACTTGCCAACGGTCATCGAGATCGGGCAATTCAAACGGTGACTCATGGGGCGCATGTTTTTGAACACTCAAAGTGGCGTCTGTCCAGGACGATAGCTGCATCAAACCTTCACCAAATCCGACGGTGTCAAGCTTGCTCGCCTGGAACAGGCCCCGTTGAGACGCGCTCCCTTTCCCGGCTCTTCAAACGGCCAAAAACAAGGCCTGTACAGTGTTTCCGCTAAAATTTTCAATTGGTGGCCCTTGGGCCCCCAGGGCCCGGGCCCTCGGGGGCCCGGTGGGCCCCCTCAGCATCCACATTGGGGGCCCAAGGGCCCCCTCGAGACTCTGATGGGGGGCCCAAAATTGGCTTGAAACCGCCCCCTGTTAGATTGCATAGGACATCCCGACGCAATGTTATGCGAAATGGGGCCCGGGCTGAATACCAATTCTGCTTACAGTAAACCCCCAGGAGATGAAATTGGGGATGTTGAACACATTTCTGCGAGTCGATTTTAACAAGGAATATTGTGTAAAAGCTCAAAAATGCCTGTATAAGCTTGAAATATTTCACAAGCTTGGGCCCCCTCACACCGATGTATGGGGGCAAAAGGGCCTCCAACCAATGCTCTTTGGGGGCCCGTCGGGCCCCCTCGCTTCGGGCATTGGGGGCCCGTTGGGCCCCCAAGGCCCTCCTATTGGGGGACGATATCGGCCATTGGGGGCGATAATGGCTGGTGGTGGGCCCCCAGTGGAAACACTGGGCCTGTAGGCCCTGAAAAGCTGTCCTCAGCTTATAGGAGCTATTCTTGATGGTTTTTAGGGCTGAAAAGTATGGCGCCTTCCTACAAGGCCCCTTTGTAGCGACCGACCTTGGCACGACCTCCGGAAAACATGATCTAAGCTTGCTCTAAGCATGCAAAGAGCCCATTTGCGGGTGTCAAAAATGTGGCGCCCCATAAGGAAACTTGAACTTCGGTCGAGAAGTTCAAATTATGAAAACGGCCAGCACTGCTGGCGCATATGTACCGGTCGGGTGGTGGTCAACATAGCCTTAACTCAACATAAAATCGAGACGACTCTATACAGTGTACGTACGGTAAATCTGTGAAGAGCCCTGACCAGTGACGTCACGTGGCCGGCAGCGAGTCCGTACAGTGTAAAGTTGATACCTAGTAGATACGGTACCGAAGGCTTACCTATGTACTAGGTACCGTCATATGAACAGTACCTACCTTGCCGGCCGCTGCAGTCGGCAGCGTGCGCTGTGCACTGGGTTTCATTGCCGGGGTTGAAACTTGAAATGGCCAAGCGGCGCCCAAGCCTGCCTGGCCAAGGCATACCGTATTTTCCGGTTCAAGGACATAGGATCTCTGGGGTCCGTACAATACGTCACCAGAATCTTTCAGAGCTTGTGGTTGTCCTGACTCGTTAAACCACCACCGGGGGTATAACTTGGGGCAAACCGGCTGTCATTCTCGCCAACGGCCACCGGAATTCAAATTTCGGCCCGAAGGCGCATGCTTCCAACTTATGGAAATTTGAGCTTATAAATCCGAAAACAGAAGCATTACTTCGCTGTTTTCGGCGGTCTTTCTTTCTATCGCTCGACTTTAGTCAACAGAGT